AGAGGAGGAAGAAGAAAGACTGGAGCACACCACCTTTCCCAGGGTCACTACACTGTCGGGAATTGGATCTGTAGCTAGAACTGCAGACATGTCCTCTGCAGTTTCCCTGGGAATTTAGGGAGTATAGCAACCTGTGGGTGGAATATTCAGAAATTAAAAAGTAACATTTTGTTGATTGTTTTAAGAAAAGGAGAAAAAGAAAGAGGCTGCCAGACAAGGTTAAATTTCGGATTGGCTTTTAGTTGTTAAGAGTGAAATAAAAGGGTGCCAGACACCAAGCTGGCCTTCTAAGTGTTGAACTAGTAAGTCATATTAGCTGGTTTGTCTTGTTTTGTCACACTTGATGTTTGGCTGTGGTAACAAAGTTGTCGACTCACTAGTTTTTGATCACAAGTCATGTAATCAAATGCATGTGTACAGCTGTCCACCAACAGTGCTGTATAAGTATAGTATATATATAGTATATTATAAGTATATAATATATATATAAGTAAGTAGCTGTATAATTGCAATTGCAAAAAAAACAACCAATTCTTACACAAGGTTTCTTTAAAAGAGTAAAACCGCTTTTAAAAATTGTTTTTCCTGGCAATGTAGGGAAGGCTTTGACACTTTGATCTTCAGACTAAAAATTAAATGTATATACAAACAGTTAAAATCCAGATAATTTAACATTTTCAGCTACTATTTTTGGTATTTAGTCAGGACTTTCTTATCTATTAAAATTTCTGGGAAGAATTTTGTAGTAGTTCCCAGAGGATGAATCCTGAAGACTTTAGTGATCTCCTGACCTTTCTTGTTGCATCACCATAAGTGTCACATTTGTGGTTTTGGGTAAAATGTCTCAACATCTACTGGATGCATTATCATGAAATGTGTAACATTCATGTCCTCTTCATAATGAATTCTAGTAACTTTGGCGATCCCTTAACCTTCCCCGTAGTAAATTTTAATTTGTCCAATACTTTGGTTTATGATCAAACAACTGTACTTTGTTTTTAGTGCTAAGTGGCAAATGTTAGCATTCTTATTTTCATAGATGTTTTTATTCATTTTGACAGGCAAAAGTAAATACAATGGGAAATAATGACTTTTTCCTTTACCAAAAACAACAACAACCACTAATCTACCCCCCACCCCCCTCCCAGTCCTACATAGTCTTGTTGCAGATTAGTAAAAGTGAGAAATAATATACATCCTTCCTTCTTACCGTAAGCAGATGCAAATATGTGTGTCATGTTTGCTGGTGTCATGTGACATCTATTGCATGTATCTGCGATATTGGAATACATTTTGGAGAGTTTGGAATTGGTAATATAAATACGGTGGACCACCTTAAATTGTATCAAATTAAGCCTGGAGCAAGATGTACTGTTATACACTCTAGATAATACAGAGTCCCAGTCATTGTCATCTATAACTCTGCCAAGTTCTTCTTCCCAATCTTTTCTGATTTTATCAAGAGATATCTGACTAATATGGGAGATTAAGGTGTAGATTTTTTAAATAAGGCCTTTCTGGTTTGTGGGAAGGTCCAAAATTGAGTAAATTACTGAGTTAGGTGGAGTATTGGGGAAAAAGGTGCTATGTGATTTAACAAAGTTACGGACCTGGAAATATCAAAATAGGTGAGATTTTGGAAGGTCAAATTGTTCACATAGTTCACTGAAGTTAAATAAAGCCATAAAGAAAAGGCTATATCTGTGCTAGGAGGGAGGAAGAGATGGTTATTATGGATGGGGCTATGATTAGACAATCCCTGGAGTCAAAAATTTATCTAAATTGAGACCAAGTTTAAAGGGTAGAGACGACAATTGGGTTACATGTAAATTGGGATGATCGAAAGGGCAATTTTGATGTAAGCAATGCTAAAAGTGAGGTAGAACAGGATTTAGCTTCGAGTTTACTCCAGTTTAATTCAGGTTCTTGGATCCAGAGAGTCATTTTGGGTATGTTGGCTGCCCAATAGTAGAGTCTTAAGTTAGGGAGAGACAATCCACCTACGGACCTATGCCCTTGTAAAAACTCTCTCCTTGTCCTGGGGGGTTTGCCTTTCCATATAAAAGATGAGATTAGTTTGTTTATAACACGAAAAAAGGAATTGGGTAAAAAGATCGGCAAACATTGAAAAAGATACAGAAAGCGTGGAAGCACGTTCATTTTGATGCAATTTATCCTGCCTGCTATAGTTATATGCAAATTATTCCACCTTTCCAGGTCTGATTTAAGCTTGTCGATTAGGGGTGGAAAGTTGCTCTCGTAGAGATCTGATATCTTACGGCAGATATGCACACCCAAGTACTTAAAGCTGTTTTTAGATATTTTAAATGGGAGATACACATCAGGGACCCCAAGGGCCAAGTTATTTACAGGAAAGCATTCACTCTTTGAAAAGTTCAATTTATAACCCGAAAATGTTCCAAAGCTATTTAGCAATTAAATTATCTTAGGGATGGTAGTTATTGAATCAGAAATAAACAATAATAGATCATCTGCACATAAGGAAAGTGTATGTTCTAAACCTAATCTGTGGATTCCTTTACTAAAACTGGCCGATTTAAGTGCAAGAGATAAAGGTTCTATTGCCACGGCGAACAACAATGGGCTCGCAGGACACCCTTGGCGGGTTCCTCTGCTAAGTGTGAAATATTGGGATTTCATACCATAAGTGCTTACGGACGCTTTAGGAGAAGAGTATAAAAGAGCAATCCAAGATACATACTTAGACCCAATGCAGAACCTCGTGAAGACCTCCAACAGATAACTCCACTCCACCCTATCGAAAGCTTTCTCCGCATCCAAGGAGACCACCACTTCTGGTGTCACCCCGGATGCTGGAGAAAAAAGAATATTGAGGAGGTGGCGAATGTTGGAGAAAGAGTGTCGGTTTTTCATAAACCCAGTTTGGTCGAGTGAAATAATGCTCGGCATAATCGATTCAAGTCGTAAGGCCAGTGCTTTAGCTAAAATCTTATAATCAGCATTTAAAAGAGAAATGGGACAGTAAGAACTACAATCAGAATCATCTTTACCCAGTTTTAGTAATAGGGTTATTGACGCTTTGGTGAGAGTTTGAGGCAGGGCTCCCTGGTCCATAGAGTCATTGAACATGTTTAAAAGGAGAGGGATTCATTTATCAGCTAATTTTTTGAAGAACTCTATAGGATAGCCGTCTGGGCTAGGGGCCCTTGCCACTTTGCATTAGTTTAATTGAATCTGCAATTTCACAAATTTCTAAGGCTCAATCCATTTCCCTCTTCTGAGCAGAAGATATACAGTAGATGGGAATTCCAGGTTATCCAGGAAACCCATCATGTTTGTTTTGTCGGTTGGGGATTGTGAAGTATGTAGAATATTTAATAAAAGAATAAAATGTTTTAAAGGTTTCATTTATGACAGATGGCATTACTATAAGTGCACCTGAGTGGGTTCTGATCTGTTTAATTTGCTGGGATACTGATTGGCATTTAATTTGGCGTGACAGATGACATCCTGCCTTCACCTGCTTCATAAAGAAATGAAGCATGTATTTTTCAGTTTCTTGTGTTGACAGTGTTGTAGTTCATTTAAAGGTTTTGTCTCTCCTTATCTAATTCAGGGGATGAAGATACTGATAACTTTCTGTCCAATTATCCATTTAATAGCTGTTCCTGTTTTTGTTTCTCCCAGTAACTAGTCTCGCAGATGGGGATATAATCTCTCCTCGGATTACCACCTTTAGTTTCTACCAAAGTAGAGATGGGGATATGAGATCAGACTTGTTAGTAACAAGAAAATCGTCAATTACTTTTGAGATTGTTTTGCAGAATCCCTCATTGTTCAGCAATGTGCAATTCAACCTCCACAGGCGGCGTGTTTTTTGTAAAAGTATAAACGAAAGGTCGAGTAACAATGGACCGTGGTCAGATATCACTATCGTTGAGTATTCTATATTCTCAACAGCAGGAAGAAAATAATTATCAATGTTAAAATAATCAATTCTTGAAAATGTTTTATGGACCTATAGAGTAAAAAGAAAATTGTTTTTTTATCAGGATATAGAAAGCGCCAAGGGTGCACAACTCCCATTTGATTCATAAATGATGAAATAGCTTTGGCCATTTTAGAAGGAGAATCCTGCCTTAGGCGGGATTTGTCTAACAAAGGGTCTATTGCACAATTAAGATCACCCCCTAAGATCAAATGGTGGGAACTTAGATCTGGTAAAAGTGAGATTACTTTCCTAATGAATGCCTCATCATCCCAGTTGGGTGTATAGAGATTGACAAGAACAACAGGTACATTATTAAGGGAGCCTGAGACTATAACAAACCGACCTTGGTGGTCAGCTATAACGTTTGTTGGGCTAAACTGTATTTTTTTATGTATTAAAATCACTGTACCCCTTGCTTTGCTACTAAAATTTTAGTGGAAAATTTGGTTGACCCATGAAGCCTTTAACCTATGGTGATCCTTAGTGATCAAATGCGTCTCCTGTAAGAAAGCAATTTCCGTTTTAAGATGCTTTAAGTGAGAAAATATGCAGCAGGGGCTAGCTCAAATAGTGGCATCGGCAGCTTGCAGTGGCATTTCCGGTGGCAGGTTGAGATGCCAACGATTTTTCCTGAAATGCCACGGCATCTTTCACCGTTTATATGGTATTTCCGGTGGCAATCTAGGATGCCGCGGCACCTGCCGCTGTTTGTGTGGGTTGCCACCGGTTCACCGTAAGATGCCACGGCATCTTTCGCCGTTTATGGGGTATAACGGTGGCAAACAAGGGCTGTGTCCGAAATCACCCACTACTCATAAGGCCTACTAGCAAACCATATACAACCAAAACAGTAGCCTGTCGTACTGTAGAGAAAAGAGGATATCCGACTGCAACTGCAGGTGTTTGTAGCATCTGCTAGTTAGACTGCCTAGACCGATTCTCGAGATCATCCACTCGTTCCAGGAGCACCGTGGCTTGGGACTGTAAGGACTTGACAACGGCTTCTATTTCTGTGATTTTCACAAAGTTTTCACCCACTGAGACGGTTGTTAAATGATGTCACCTGCTGTCCTAATGCATCGACCGACTGCTTCAGGGATTCAGTTGACTGTTGTATCAGGATAGCCATGTCAGCTTTGAAGCTATCACGCTGTTGACGCAGGTCAATCTTGGTGACTGGGTCGGAGAGGTTCCCGGTCTCGGCTCCACTGCCCCCCGGGTCTGAACGCTCTGAAGCGGCGGCAGCGGTCATGCTAGCTAGCTTAGCCGAGATGCACGTTGCTCGAGTTGTTTTTATCGGTTGGTATTTAGACTTTGAGCTGCTCATACACTTTCCCATATAAAAGTTCAATAATACGCGAGTCGGCTGGAAGAAAAGCACTGCTAATTTGGTAGACTTTGAAGAGTAAATGAAAAGTTTGTCCGGAGCTCCCCCCTCGCACGTCTGCACTCTACCTCATCAAACCGGAAGTCCAAATGTTAGCATTCAAACAAGCTAAACTAAGATGGTTAATATTGTAAACAGTATTTCTGCTAAACATTACCATGTTAGCATTGACATTGTGACCATGCTACCATTTGCATTCAACTCAAAGCACTGCTGTGCATAAGAACAGCCCTAGTAGCCGCTAGCATGGCTGTAGACTCTTTGCCATGTTTTTTTGTTCGCGGCATATAGGCTAAACTAGAGTAGTGTTACTTTGAATGTGTGCTTTATGTAGGCCTACTCTGATTTGCTAGTAAAGTGCATGGCACATCCCCGTTGCTGTGAAAGTCCATCAGAGGCAGTGTGTTTAGGAATGCATTAGAGTTATTTTAGCTTGCAATTATAGTTTCAGAAAGATAACTTGTTTTTCCTTTATCAAATAGCGAATGTTTTTTGTTGTTGTTGTTGCTATTATATTAAGTCCCCAAGTAACTGTAGTTCATAGGTCTTAACACCAATATGTGCTCCAGTCTGTTTACTGTCCAGGACTTCTGCTGTTTGGTCCAGTAAATAAAAGTCTTGTTGGGCACAGATGAGGAGGGGCCAAACCAACAATAGTGGGGCATCTCTCCCTGAGAGCAGCCAGGGACCTGAAAGAGAGGGTACAGAGACAGAGAGATAATTCAGTGGCTTATCAGATGGACAACTTCTGTATCTGAAGTTTAAAACACAAGAGACACGGAAATTATCCTACCTCAGGCTGTGATCTTCAGCACAGTCAGCAGGGACTGGAAGGTATGTTATCGTTATCTTAAAAACAGTTTTTATTTCCTTTTATTGAAAAAATAAAATGTGTTTGTGCCATTTCCTGGCTGGATTGTCAGTTGCTAATGTCCTTGTAACACTGGTGATATTTGAGTGAAATGAAGCTAGGTTGTAATGAAAGATTTGAACACAGATTCCACAAACTGGTGGATATTACTTTAAACTCTGATAATATTAGCATCTTGGCTCCGAAAGGGGGGATGCTTTAAGTCCTCAGCCAGAAATAGCCTAACATTTGCAGGAGAAGTAAACACTAATTGTCTTACACTTTTGCCCTTGTACTCCAGATACAGAGTTTTGGTCTGCGAGCCACACCACTTTGGCATGTAAAGAAATCCAAAGCTTGACAGACCTGGAAGCTATGATGGACAACTGCTGTTTATAGGAGGGGTTTGTGGTGTATTAATTGATTTCTAAAATGAACAACAATATGTACATTAGAAAAGATTAAATTAGCTGTTGAGAACCAAACAATGATTTTAATATATATATATATATGTTATAATTTTTTAAAATTGCAATTAAATCTTGTGGCCATACTGCAGCTATACACACACTTAAGTTCTACTGAATTCAACACTCAGCTGTGAAGGCTACTGATTACTTGAGATAGACCAAGGTGCCCCGTTAGCTCACCTGGTAGAGCGTACTATGTACTAAGTAAGAGTCCAGCAGCCTGGGTTTAATTTTAGTCCAAGACCCTTTGCTGCATGTCATCCTCTCTTTCACCCCCTTTCCTGTCTCTCTTCAGCTGTTCCTATCTGGACAAAAGTCAAAGTAAATTAAGTAGAATGAGTGACAACATGTACATTAAACATGAGTAAATTAGGTAAAACACAAATAATAGTTGGCCAAAGCTGTCACAATTGTACATTTGTTATCAACATGATAGCATCACCCTTTAGCCAACAAGTGAAACTGAACAGAGTACACAAGTACTATACAGTTTTGAGGTCCTGGTATTTTGCCTGAGAAATTCCATTTTCTGCTACTTCATATTAAATACAATATATTTGTTCTTCTAAAGTGAGCCATTCTGCATAATGAGTACTTTGATACTTGATGCTGATACTTTTGTACTTTTAAATTGTAAACGGACCATGAATATAGTATATGTAGTGGTTTTCTAGTACTGACCACTCAAAGCACTACAAGAAATGTCAACATTCACACACTGATGGTGGAGGCTGCCATGCAAGATACCACCCTGGTCATTAGGAGAGGTTAAGGATTCAGTATCTTGCTCGAGGACACACTCTCTCTGCAGGAGTTGGGGATCAAACCAGTAACCTTCCGATTACTAGACAACCGATCTACTAACTGAACCATGGCTCCCCAATTTACTTATACATAAGTAAAATGGGTGAAAAATGTAGGACTTTTAGTAGTAAAAGTTCTGAGTACTTCTTCCACCGCTGCATAAAACATAGAGAGGAGGACAGATGGGTGGACACACGTGCTTAATGATTAAACTGTGAAAGTAAAATGTAAAACACAGCTTGTTGCAGTGAAATGTCTGAGCACTGGTGTTTAATAAAACCATAAAATCACATCTGCAAACTGCAGCAGAGAAACCGCAGCCTGAAAACCTCACGTGAACATAATCAAGACTCCACTGAAACCTGGAAATGATCCAGATATAATCAGTGCATGTGAGAGTGATGGAGTATAGAGGCCTCAGTAGTCTTCAAATGAACTAGTTTGTTCAGTGTGTCGATGATCCAACAAGCACTTCGTTTGAAGCAGACTGACGCCTAAACTTACCTGTATCTGTATCTGTGTGTTTGTATCCATGTAAGTGACACAAACTCTCATACATACAATATGTAAGTGATGGACAGACAACATCCTGATAATTTAGCTAAAACTTTGTCTTAAGGGTGACGCTAGGAGGAAGGTCATTGGGTCAGTTACATCTAAAGAGGCAGATTCTCTGGAGGAACGTGAAAATCCAAAGTACATTTCCTAAAAAATCTGGCCAATAGATATCTTGTTCTGTTGGATGTGCAAATATATTTTTGTCTCAATTCTGTAATGGGATCTTTTGAACCCTAAAATAGTTGTTTGTATGCACATACGTTGTATTTAAAATGTCAGATAAAATAATTCAGTAATTTAATTTTAGCAAACAAAAATATATTTTGTCCTCTACACATTTTTTTATTTTTATTTTTTAAGTACACAATGATTTCTAGTTAACCTCTAGTGGCGTGATCAGTCACTGGGGAGGTGGGAGAATGGTACAAGATGTCTCATCATACACTCAAAAATAACACCAAATGTTATGTTATCCACAGATTCTCAGTTAGTATTTATATTTTGGACTAAAGGTTTTAAAGCTGATACCCCACAGGGGAGACGAGTCGGGGTGTGTCCAAATGAAATTCAGTATAATCAGTCCTACTATAGGTCTCAGGTTTGTGCCAATATGTTTAATACCAAAATGGATCCAAGCAGACTCTCTATTAGCTCTGATTACATCATCGTCACAGGAGAAACATTTGTTTTTTGAGGCAGATGGAGAGCATAAACTGTGAAGTGAACTAACTGGCACTGATCATCATGCCAGTTCTTCAGACCAGTTCTGACTGTCAATGAAAACCTATAGTCTGAATAATATGTTGAATCAGGATTTAATGCACAAACACACACAGGCTTACTTGTTTTGTAACTCTACACATGCATATGTACATGTTGGGAGTCAAATCAGCAGTCTGACTCAGACTTTGTGGTTTTAAAGGCCCCCAAACACACACAAACACAAAGACACACACACACCCCATGATGTGTGGTGTTGCTGAATAACGACAGTCACTCTGTCTCTGGTTCTTGGACATTAACGCTGGATCATTAACTGCTAATTCAAGGCTGGCTTCATATTTTCCAGATTACACTGCAACAGTCATGAATCAAACACACTCGCTCAGACCCATCCAGACAAGCCTGAGACCCACGAATACAACATGACCACATCTGCACACACCACTGCCACAATGCAGATAAAATCCAGCCAACGCAAGCTTGATAGCTTGCAGAGCTTTTTTCCCTCTTCTGTGACTCTACTAAGTGGAAAATTATGTACCATCCTCAGATAAGACAAAATAGAGAGAAGGCCAGAAAGTTACTGTGATTGAATAGTACTAGCATGCGAGTGGCTCAGGATCCCAGCAAGCTTGCTCAGTGTAAGAAACCTCATTAGCTTGGTTACTAATGGGTCAATAAGTTCACACAGTTTATTCAAAGGACATATTTGTACCACTGACTGTTGTCTCATATGAGGTTAAATCAAGTGGTGCAACACAGCTGGACTCTCCACGCTTGCTATTGGTCAACAGTGTGAGTTCACGTCAAGGTTGAATGTGCAAGAAAAAGCCGGTCTGACCAGGCCTCAATACTTACCCACACTAGTAATTAGTATTACCAAAGTAATGAACAAATCAAAAATTTGACCTGATGATGGGGTTGAATGAAAGTTAAGGGATCACCAAAATTATTACAATTCACCCACTAAAGTCCATGGATGTCTGAGCTAAGTTTCATGGCATTCTATACAGTAGTTATAGTTGTTGAGATAGTTCAGTCTGGACCAAAGTGGTGCACCGACATTGCCATCCTTAGAGCCATGCCAGTAGCGTAGCTAAAAATCATGAGTTAGCTTACATTGACAGTTTACCCTATCCTCATCTGGATCCAATTAGTTAAGTTATAGCTTTTTACCGTTTCGTTGTGTCTGTCTGAGACAAAATATCAAATAGAGTCTCCTATGTGAGTTTGGACTCAGACTTTGTGTCTGGGGGGTCTTTCTTGTGGTCTGGAGTAGCGATGTTGCCAGAGGTTCTGGGCCTTTCGGTGGTTTGGAGGACAGCCTGAGTGGCTTCACCACACTCTGTTTGTCTTGGATCAGGATCATCAGAAAAACCATCCAGCTGGGAGGATTATGAAACTGGTGCGATGCACAAAGCCTGAATAAATGCTTTCCTAAGCTGAGGAGGACATGAGGAAACTTTTTGATAAATTACAGCCTTCTTAAAATGTTTTAAAGGAAACATTTTGACAATTTATTTGTGACGATAACTTTGAGTCCTCTTTCTTCCCGTCTTCTCCTCCAGCTCTCCACTCACAGATCCACTTCCAAGATTACTACAGTCATAAAGTTCTCGTGCGCTTAAAGTAATCAGAGAACATCAGCTCCAGGCCAGCCCTCCTCAGATTAATGAAAAGTTGAAATGATCGGAGAAGCCTCAGCCCACCGGCGGTTTCCTGCTCCCTACTCTGGTTACAATCCCGCAAAGAAAATGATGGGAGATTTTCCGTGGTGTTCTTGGAGGCAACCTCAGTGGCCATGTTTCCCAAGAGCTGGGTCACAATGTCTTTCCCCCGACTTTGGAAAAACTGAAATATGAATTACTTGCATATGAGGGGGCGCCAAGAGCAATTATATGAGGATGGTGTGGGGGGCTCTTACATAAAGAGCTGGAGGGAACAGTTTCAGAAGAATGACAGAGAAGAAAATAAAAGGCAGAGCAACAAAGAAAACATTAAACAGTAAACGTGAATGTGTAACTGAATATATAAAGATCAGGCTTTTAACCTTTGTAGTTGTAGTTCCTAAATAAAGGTACTGATTTAATTTAAGCAAATTTCACTTAAAAATAACTGTTTCATTCTGACACTATTAAAAAACACATGGTTCCTGTGTCACCTAGTTTAATTTTGTAAACAGATATATAACTGTTTTTAAGAGTGCTCCAAAGAACGGCAATCACCAACTGCTGACAACATTTGCCCTCATAATCTGCGAGAATGTCCATTCAATTTGTATCCATGCTGTTATTGTTATTTTCAGTTAACAGATAAGCTGTGGTTGTGGTTGTTAGCAGTAAATGTTTGTAGAATCACATATGGATTATAATTAGTAATGTATTATGTGTACATCACTTTAATGGTATAGGTGGTAAAGGTGGCAAATGGTAAAAATTGCAAAACATGCAAAAAATATGAAAGGTCCTTTCTAGAGCCAGTGTTTGGTTTCTCTGTTCTGGGCTACTGTAGAAATATAGCATTAAATGGGTTTCTCACAAAATCAGACTCCAGTCCAGCAGTAGAGGCCACAACCTTCTGACTGTGGAAAAAAGTATCTCTCGATTACTGGTTACAGTTTTAATGGGTAAGAGGGTAAGTAAGAGGAGGGAGGACTCATCCTGATTACTCCACACCATCTCTGCTGCTTCGGGATTTAAACCAGCATCCTTTTTATCACAGTCCTTCTCCACATAAGAACAAGGGAGCTTTGTTTTATGCTGTGTTGTGGAATTTGGAGCATTCACTTCAGTGATCATCACTCATGTGTCCTCTCACAGGCCTGCCCGATTATCTTTGCTCACTGAAGCTCATAATGTGTTTGTTTTCACTCCAAACATGTCAATTCTGTCCTCTGCCTTTGTAGGACCACTAATTGCTCCATGTGGAGTCAGGGACCATGGCGCTGATGGAGCTACGTCTCCTGGTACTGGCCTTGTGGGTTGGCATCAGAGTAAAGCTCCAAGTTCGGGCGACCAGATGAATCCGGCCCGGGCACCTCTGATCCCTCACCGGCCTTTTGTTGTTGTGTGGAATGCTCCCACTGAGTCCTGCCGCCTTCGATTCAAGGTGGACCTTGACCTCAGCGTTTTCGACATTGTAGCAAACCTCAATGAAACCCTAAGTGGACCAAATGTTACCATATTTTACCACAGCCACTTGGGATACTACCCATACTACTCCAACTCTGGGATCCCTATCAACGGTGGACTGCCACAAAACCAGAGCATTTCCAAACACTTGAGCAAGGCCCGGGCCGACATTGACAAGCTAATCCCCCACAAGGATTTTCGAGGTCTGGGTGTCATCGACTGGGAGAACTGGAGGCCTCAGTGGGTCCGAAACTGGGGATCCAAGGACATCTATCGCAACAAGTCCAAGGAACAGATCCGGAAACTTCACCCGAACTGGCCGGAGAGCAAGGTTGAGAAGGAAGCAAAGGAAAGTTTTGAGAAGGCTGGGCAGACCTTCATGAACCTGACCTTGGCCCTGGCTGAAGGACGCAGGCCTGACGGGCTGTGGGGATTTTACCTGTTCCCAGACTGCTACAACTATGGATATAAGCAGCACCCGCAACGGTACACCGGTGAATGTCCCAATGTTGAGCATGTACGCAATGACCATCTGATGTGGCTTTGGAAGGAGAGCACCGCCCTCTACCCGTCCATCTATCTGGACTATGAGCTCAAGTCCTCCCCCAACACCGTCAAGTTTGTCCACTATCGAGTCAAGGAAGCCATGAGAATTGCATCCATCGCCCGTACAGACTTCACATTGCCTGTGTTTGTCTACTCCAGACCTTTCTACGCCTATACCTTTGTGGTTCTTTCAGAGGCAAGTTTGGGTGAATATTGTAATTAAACTTTGAACCATTGTCTTCATGGTAATGTATACAGTAGTTAAGTATGTATGTAGAAGGACACTTGTCAGTATGTTTGTAGCGACAAGAGCATTTGTAGGTTATGAAAAAGTGGAAGAGAAGGAATAAAGCCTTTGGATTTCTGCATGTGTCATATAAAAGGCAATGGAAAGGTTGTGTGTCAAGTGTTTGCTAAGCTAAAAATACCTCTGGAATTCTGTTTCAGAGTGATCTGGTTCACACCATCGGGGAGAGCGCTGCATTAGGAGTGTCAGGCGTCGTCCTCTGGGGATCATCAGAGTACGCTCGATCACAGGTAATGGTAAAAAGTACAACCAAAACCTATTGTTCAAACTGGTGACTTAGAACTGAATACAGTGTTGCAAGCTTTATGCTTATTTGCCAACATGCACTACAAAGGTTTTAAAATAAGTTTCAATACTAAATTCAATAAAGAGACACCCCCCTGGCTCTCCTTCCAGCTTTAAATTCACTTAAATCAGTTCAAAGGAACAGCCTTAAATGGAATGCTTACTGTGTTGCATTACCCCTACATTATAGCATACATTATATAAAACAAGCCACAAAGCAGTAGGGATCAATAAAAGCCATAAACTGCATGCAGTCACGGTGCATAAAAAGAGGTATCATAATTTCTGACTGTGAAAAATATGAACAGACATCCTTCTTCTCTCCTCGGGAATCTAATGTTTCCAAAAATAGTGAGTTTTTAGATTTTTATTTCTGACTAAACTCTGACACTCAAAAATCATGAGAAAGCATCAGATTTATGTGTGAAAAGGGTCTCTGTTGGTGTGAATTGTCTTACATGCTGTTTACAGCACTCAGCTATGTATCTGTCATATATTTATCACTAAAAAGACATTTTCAAACATACTATGACACAACAGAAAAGGTGGAAAATTGCTTATTCTCACATGAAAATTTCCACAGTCATAAGACCATTATTTGAAGTTGAGTTTAGTTCAGTTGAGTTCTTAACATGCTGAAGTGGTGTGCATTTAGCAAAGGAGATATTTTTTCTATAGGTGAAGTATCTGAACATGTTATGTAAGAATGAAATATATTTTTCCCTATCATAATGTAATCTAGGCTAAGGTTTTAGGTAAAACCTGATGGTATGGTGTGGGAAATGCGCAGCAGAGATGTAAAGAGGAGATGATTTCTAATTAATGATTAGAAAAATGAAAAACTACAAGATTTTTACAGACTAATGACAGTGTATTTTGTATCCTGCGTCCTCCAGAGGAACTGCCTGACAGTAAAGAAGTACATCGACGGTCCACTGGGACATTATGTCATCAACGTCACCTCTGCTGCCAAGCTGTGCAGCAAAGCGCTTTGCAAGAAGAATGGCAGGTGCGTTCGCAAGAGCCTGGACTCAGGCGCTTACCTGCACCTGAACCCACGATTCTTCCACATCCACCGCAACCCGACACCCAGGGGCCCTCGCTTCCATGTCAGTGGTCACCTCAACAACCATGACATCCTGGACATGAAGCACAAGTTCACCTGCCAGTGCTACCAAGGCTGGACAGGTGTTTACTGTGAGATGCCTCAGGCTCCACCCCATCCTCCTCCTCCCCCACTTCAGCCTGTGATCCCTGTGCCTGACCCCAGGGAGAACAGCCTGCTGGGAGATATCTTGCTCCTCCTATCCCTCCATTTCTCCTGTCTGTGTATCATCATGTTCCTTGGACTCTGTCTGATTATTAAGTGTCTGATACTTTAGACATCAGGACTTAATTTTAGGACCACAGCTATAGAGAGGACAAAACATAGGTCTATAGACTAAGCAGCTACACCTTAGTGCTAGCCTGACCTCGAGTGTGATCGGCTGCAGTTCCTCTCATGTCCACTAGATGATGCTCCAAGAAAACTGTATTGAAATGAATGGGAAAACCTCCAACTTCTCTTTGCTTTTAAGACTACAACAACAGCAGTACATTCCTTCCACTAAAAACAAAGTAGGACACTGTTTATCAATTACATAGTCTAGTCGTGCAATCCAGGAGGTACATTTGCATGTAAGAGTCATTTTTTTTAGTATTAACATAAAATGCTGTCCTAAAGCATACGTCCAGGGTTGCTGTAAAAACACAGCACATTTTGGATGCCACAGTGGTAGTTAAAACATGATAAAGTGCTCTCTAGGGTGCTAATCCTTACCCTAATTAAGCTGTTTTACCACAGATGCATCAAAATGTTATGGTGCCCTTTTAATTTTTTGCCCTTGTCCCTCAAACTGCCTGAGTCTGCCACTGCAACTGACTCCTTATTACACAATGAATCAGCTGTGAGCTGCTTCCACTCCAAGGGTGAGCCCAGACACCCTGTGAAGTAAACATTGCATTTCTCCACTGCTGATCTGTACGCTCAGTATACTCAAACACATTTTTGACAAGATATGTCTAAATACACAGCCTCTGTTTGTTGCAAGTGAAAACTGTATGAAACATATGGGTCAACAGTGAATTGTTTGTGTGGTGGAAAGTTTTGATGGATGTTTTTTTTTTTTTTTGTGAAACTGGGTCTCTTACTGGGAATCCAGTAACTGTAAGCTACAACCTTTCCAGAGACTAAAATTGGTGAGTACACTCAAAAGATACAATTTTGGTGACATAAAATTATGCTAATTATGCTTTTGTGTTCTTACAGCAAGATAACTTGAATAATTACCACTCATTTGCCTTAGAGAGACAAACTTTCAGTTTATTTTCCCCCACAGTAGCACAGAATAAATACTCTTCTATAAAAAAAACTCTTAAAGCAATCAATAAATCAACAAAGGCAGTTCTGTCAGTTTACAGTCACAGTCATTTGTTTAGTTTGGGATAATGACTGTAATGAGGCTGACATCACAGCCAGCTCTTCATTATCCTGCTGAGTGAATCTGCAGTTTTGTGGTGCTGGAGCCGTCAGTCAAATGAGTTATACAGCGAGGAGACAGGGCAAATGACCAAACAGTTTAACAATAGTCCCTGTTTGTCCCACGGGAAAGGGAGGGACAGCCGAGCATCAAACACTGTTCTGGGTGATGAGAGGATGGAGGAGAAGCTTATGTTAAATGAAGAACTGCCAAAATAGAGTAAACTGTGGATTACAGAAAGTATTGTTGAAGTCAGTTGATTATAGATGAAGGTCTCTACCAACTCTTTAACAGAAGCTTTAGGATTCATCAGTAATCAGCTGCTGCTGGAGGATTGGAAAGCTGCACAATATTAAGGTTTTTAAGTGAGGGTTAACTGATGAAGTTGTAGGCGATTTTTTATTTTATTGTTTTGTAACCCACTCCTGGATAAGTACACCATACTCTAGGTCCGAGAGGAGCTTTGAGTTTTGAGTGTAATAATCATTAACACAACGCAAGTGCTTTTAGTGAGGCTTTAGTTTGCTTATGAATGGCAAAACAGTGTAACCTACACCCCTTTCACATTATGAAAAATTAAACCTAAATTGTCCTTAGGTGGGATTTTCCAGACAGTTTCAAATAACTTTCCAAGTCAGTGTCCAATAAAAAATTTGGTCAAAGTCAGTTTTAACGAAGGTCTGATTTGATAAGTTTAATAAGTCAGAATGCACTCTTTAAGGGTTTGTGTGTTCGATGTAGCTGGTACCAGTCAGAATGACTGTCACATACCACAAGGAAGACAGTTCATCCAGCTGTTTCAGTGGCAATGTAAATCCAGGAAATCAAGCTCAGTGGCTCGCCAGCTACTGGGATCTTTTCACTGGATCTTCTCACTCACACAAAAGACCTGACTGAGGCATGTAAATTGCAGCTAATTAGGATAAGGCCACTTTCAGCTGGCAACTGCTCAACCTCAATAATTTTTATGAAGCTCAACATTGTTAGACAGAGCATCTACTTCATGTTTAATATGGAGGCTTTCACATGCTCTCTCTCTGTGTCACGTACACCTTGCTAAATGCACCCCAAAACTTCCTGTTAATCGTAGCGAGAGGCGGAACTTGGTGAAACAAAACTTGACTAGGTTATTACAACCATAGTATGTAGCTATTACTGAGTCCATTAGGTCTGTGATAGATCATCAAGTTTTGTAATCCCTGACCTTCATTTTGTTGGATGAATTCCTATAAATTCACAGCTTTGAAACAACAGTTCAACTTTTTTCGGATATTCACTTTTTGGAGTTGGAGTTAAGTAAAGAGCTGGAGTCAGGATGTGGTTAGTCTAGCTTAACGTAATAAATGGAAATTTGGAAAAATCTAGCCTGGGTTTGTCCGAGGTTTAAAAATACACCTAACAACACAGCTAAAGCTCACAAATGAACACGCTGTGTCTTCTTTGTTTAATCTGTACACAAACAGTGATGTAAAAAAAAAGTTTTAGGAGGAGTTACGTGCTGGAACTGTTTCTTGGCAAACACCAGTGTATCCATCTGCCCAGTGTGTCTCTTGTGGCTGTACCCGACTCAAAAATTTGACTTTTTTGTCAGTTCAGTGCCACACTAAACCCCGACATATATTAGCCTACAAGAGCATGTTATAGTCTACCTCATGTTTTAATGCCTTTCTTCATCATCTGTGATGTAAAAACTCAAAGCGCACCATAGAGCGCCTCTCCTGCCGGGCTGCTGCTGACAGCCAATCACAGTGGATAGAACCCAGTAGAGGAGGTTATGCTACAGTCTGGTTCAAAAGGGGACTTCAGTCACAGTTCATCTAGAGAGCGTCGGAGCAGATGCTGCCCCGCTGTCAAGTGTCATGCTCCCATTGTTATCACTATCACTATCACTATCACTCTTCTCTGCGTCCATCACAGTTAGCTTTTATGGTTTGTGATCATGTTGAGACTCGGTTTGTACAGCCTAACAAGCTGTTGCTCTGTAAGTTGACTCAGGGTCTTCCCGGCAGATGATTCGAATCATCAAATTTTCAGGGCAGCCTTACCAGATACAGTTATTTTGCACAGGTTTTGTTTTCGGTCTCTGTATTGGCACAGTGGTACCAAACCTGGCAACCTCATGGTGACCAAAAGACTTCGGGAAGCTGCGCACAGTGATAGCACCTGACTGTTGTTCATGTGAAATGTTATGATGTCTTGATGTCCATGAAGAAACACACCACTATATAAGCTGTGTCAGTGGAGACTCAGGAGTATTTGAGGACTGGGACCGAACTGCTTGTTGAAAAGGCAGTTGCTCTTTTCTACTGTTGTATGGAGACTGGACCACCCACAGTTGGCATAGCACTAAGGATACACTGATCTGATTTGCCTAATTGTTATCGCTTGCTTATGGGATTATTGACCTGTACATAAAATCATGGCAGCTTACCACAGGCAAAATTACAAAGCTCTTGCTGTAATTTTTGGCATTTTGCTCTTTAAACACTGACTATCTTTGTTCACCTTGGAATAAATTTTACTACTACTACTTTACTACTCCAACAAGCAAAGGGCTGCCTTTACTTTGCTGTTCTGTAAATCACCTTCTGATGAACCTGTTCCTTAAACATGTTTTGGATATGAGTTGCCAGGCAAAACACAGTGACTCAGAATATTTTATAACGTATAAAAAAATTGAGAGTTTGTCCAGCAAAAACACAATTAAGCAGCTTTTAGTGGTTTTCAGCTCCTCAAAGACGGACAGATGAACCATGAAACACTTGGCCGCAAGTGGAAACTGTCAGATCCACTTGGGAGGAACATTCATTCACTCCTGTCCTGGATTTGTTGTTTTTGAAATAATGAATTACATCCACACCTCCCTCCTCCTCCCTTCATCTTTGTCTGAAGCGAGAAAATCCTAATTTGCAAGAGGAATGGAGATTAGGTGGAGCTGAAATGGGCACTAAAAAGCACAGCTGAGTGAAACAATCATTTATAAAAAGTGAAATCATTTGAGAGCCAAACTCTGACTTCAGCACTCAGTGGTGGTGGTTTCTGCTATTTGAAGCTATTTGTACCATAATCATGAAAATCCATCACTTTGAAGCTGTGTGTATTCTGTATTATGCATTTTATTCATTGTAGCTGGTGGACAAAACGATTATTTAAGGTATAATGCCTGACAAGGGAGGCTGCGTGTTGGATGGTTCTGCCCTCCACTGCGTCCTTTAATTCCTGATAATGGACACCTCTAAGGGCAATTCCACTTGGTCACTTGCCAAAGAAAAAATAAAAGACCATTATTTTATATTTTCATGCATTTTGCAATAAAAAAAATATTTTTAACAAGCCACAACTCTGTTTCCCTGGCAACATCTGAGGTCCTTCCTAATACCTGAAAGAATCATTAACATCCCATAAGGTTCTAACGCAATGGAAACGTTATTCACTACTCGAGTAAATAGGACGACCATAGATACGACTTGGCAACGGGAGATATTTCTGGTTCCCTCTGCTCACAGAACGTTTTGATCCAGCTATGAGACACAGAGCTAACGTTATGCTAGCAAGATTCAAAGTCAGTAACGCAATAAGCGGCAGTGTGTTTGTTACAGTCGCCATCCTGTGGCATTCAGAGGATGAGCCACTGACGTACTACACTTAGTGTTTTCAGATATATTTATGAAACATTCAGATTTAAATTTATTTCAGCATTAATTGAGGGTATAAATGGACACCCAGCAGCCAATCAGAATCGACTATTCACCCAGACCATGGTATAATTGTTACTATTTGTGTTCTTCATTATGGGCTTTTAACTACTTGCTGGTTGTTTTTGATGTTAGTGATTTTAGTGATTACTTGTTGCAGCCTGTCGGCCGTCTGTCTGGTTGATTAGCAGAGACGCTTGGTTGGATGTCGGCCTTTAGTCTGTAGCTGTGCTCAGTGATCACACATCAGCTGACAGGAGAGAGCCAGACAGCTGGGACACCCCTGTGATCCTAAAGTTCTTCTATAACAGATCAATAACTGACTATAAATCATAACAGTTTTGTCCTCAGTAAAAACAGTTGCTGTGAGTGGATAGTGTTTGTATTATCCTCCCACTGCAGATTGTCATCAGTGAGTCAGTCTCAGCTGCACTTTGTGTTTCATGCAAATGTTATCATGCTAACATGCTAAGAAGGTGAACATCCTTCCTGTTACATATACATATGTGACAGCAACGTGTTTTTGTTGAGATTTTTCTTATCTGAATCAACAGTCTTGTACGTGAAACTCAGGTTCTGATTTTAGAGGACATAACATTGCATGCACTTGTCATGAAAATTTCAGTAAGCTTATATTTTGACCTTTTGGTGGTGCTAGATTAAAAGTCAGAGGATCACCAAAGTCATTAAGCTCAATCGTCTGCGGACAATGAATGTCTGAACTAGATTTCACAGTCTTCAAAGCTCTTCGTGAGTAAATGTGACTTTGGCAGAGCTGAAGCTGACTCGGCCGAATAATTCTGACAGCGTGACTGTCGGTGTTATTATAGGATTATGATGATTGACAACAGAGGAAGTAAACATCCTCAGCATCAGCAATTCACAGTCCTCTCAGTTTCATGTCAGGGTTCATCATCTTTTAGACACAAACCTGAGAATGTGAGAACAGAGGATGTTGTCGGTGAAAGTTAGATCAGAAAATAGTAAAGACAACTTTGTTTCAGTCAGCTGTTTTTACATGACCACATTTAAAGAGTTCACCTTCTAAAAGACTGTATCCTATAGCCGCTTTATAAAATAAACTCTTGAGGTGCATCATTCAACATGTCTTAAATACAGTACACAGAAACCAAACACCTGTAATTGTACAACCCACAGACATCAGTTAGCTCCTGTACTTTAACTAATAACCATAATCAGCTTTAGTTCAATGTCAGCAGTCACTCTGAATGTTGGCATTGACTAAACATGAGTTTTATGTTTTCCCTCAGACTGACAGTGACAGTCTGTCAGTGGACAATTACACTAGGGAATCAAACCAGTGCTCCACAAGTTTAAAAGGACCCCAATACTGTATTTTCATATTACATCTCTTTAAAAGATCCAACAATCCGTCTATCATTTGTTCTCTTCATATTCAATTAAGATTCCAAAATCGGAAAATGAAAAAACGGTTTGTTATTTCCTTATTCGTTTATGAATCTGATACCAAAAAAAAAATAACGGTTAATTTTTTGTACTTATTGCTCAGATCAAAAATAGGAAATTAAATAATGGGCCACGGATCGATTTCTATTTTGATATTTAATTTGTCTGATTTGTGTGAACCGGAACATCGGGACAGAAGGCAAATTAGTACAGTACTTAAGATTTCAAGTAAAATGATTTTATTAATTTAAATTGTATTAATAATTATCTAGCATACAGTTTATGGTTTGTGTTAAGCCAATATTAGCTTACTTTGAACATCTCTGTGAGTGAGCTGCAAGACAAATCTGAAACCAAACTATAGCACTAACATTAAAACAAACATAACCATGCTAAGCTGCTTGGCAGGACCAATGGCCTCTGTGTAGTTTTAGGCCCGATGACTGAAAAGCAGTGTGGTGCAACCTGCGTTTTGCAAGCGCTCTGCCTGATTAGACTCTTAAACTGTCACTGGCTTTAGACTACAGCTCTGATTGGCTGTTTATCAGCTGTTCATCACCTCTCTGCTGCCTCTCCATCAGATTACAGGCTGGGAGAGAAAGCAGCTAAACAGTTACGACCTTCATACACAAACAATTATTGAGCTCTAAACACTGGCGAATGATGATCAAGATAAAATGTCTCACCTCCAAAGCTGCCCCAGATGGAAAAAAACATCTAAACGAGCGCCACTTCCGGCTCTCTGTAAGCAAAGAAGGTTAGGCTTATGACTAACCCTCTTTAAAACACATAATTTCCTCCTTTCAAAATTGAAGTATGTATAGGAGAAGGATAACTGTTATTGTTAGACGTGATCTCATATTGTTGCATGCGTTTGAATCTTATTAGAGCAGTAAGAGAGAGAGAAACTCAGTATTTTATTCTTTCATTTTTCAGATTTCTTATATATAAATTGAGTTTTGAGAATTATCTTAATAACTTATTACTTAACAAGTCCTGTGCACAAAGTCAGTGGCTAATTTGTTTTTTCATTTCATCATTCCTTTTACAATCAAAAGCATTTTCTGAGCTGTGCTTACTACAAGAGGACTGTGGTAAACATTGCTCTAGCAACCAAAAAGGGGGCACACAAACTGTGTGAACTGGTTTATAACTGTCTACAGCCATGCTACAAGTAGTTAAGTGTTAGGTACTTAGGAGCGGCACAGCGTTGTCTCATTACACATCACAAATATAAATATCATGGTGGCACTACAGAAAAGGTCAGGGGATCACCAAATTCAAGGAATTCATTCCCTAGGAACCATGGATATCTGTACAATCCTATGGCTATCCATCCAATAGTTTTTAAGACAGTCTGGACATTTCAGTCAGTCAAACTGGTGGACTGACCAACCGACCATTTACATGCCTCACTGCATATCTGGCCAGTAGCAGGTGTTAGTCAAGGCAAAATGGCCTGGTGGTGGTGTGAGAAAAAGTAATCAAAATCATTCAGACTCATCCTGTGTGAATCAGGAACATGCCCAGAAAGGTTTGTTGAATTCAGTCAGGATATTACTAATCTTTAGATGTGGGACACAAAGTGAAAAATAGCATTTTAACCTGGTTTATAAAACTTTAAGAACTAAAAAAAAAGGCTCAATCACTCTGTGGCATAGTATAGTAAGAAGAGAAACATTTCATCAGAGTGAGCAGACGTCATCTCTTCCAGTCCAAGTAGCCTGGCGTCAAGCTGTTGATTCTGAATCAAGTCAACCTCTCAGATCCTGATCCTACAACAACTCTGTGAAGGTCATAAAATGCAGAATTAGGTTGGTGGGCGAAGATGGCATCAGAAACAATAATATGATTGTGGGGGAAAACTGGCAACCCTGCAATAAAACACACTGTGAAATTCACTGACTGTTTGAAAGAAACTGCAGCACTGTAGAGGTCACTGACTCCTGCAGATCACTGGACTCTCATTTCTGTTTAACATGTTAATACCTGCAGACAGTAGACTGAGCTTCAGTTTCTGGAGGTCAAAGATGAAGAGTCACAGCAGACTGACTGTGACGAAAGAAATTATGTCCATTTCCCTATGTGTGATGGACTGATAAAAAGATCAGAGAGAAGAGGTATGATGTTATTTCACACAGGAAATAATAATTCTACTTTACTGTAAACTTTGTTACGTCTTCAGATAAGATAACAGTTCTTTTATTCTGTATGGGTGGTCAACAGTGAGGAAGTGCTACATTACTAGAAGCACTGGAATCTTATCCTGCCTGAACCCTGTACTGACAGTCACAGTCAAGCAAAGCTTGTTCATTTATAACTATTTTTCAGACCATCAAATAAGTCCAATCTGACACCCAAACCAAAGGGATGACATCATTTCTCATTGTCTTCCAAGCAATGATTTAGATTTCAATTACACTTGGTTACCTAATGTGTCTCGGATGGACTGGATAGAAGGTAAATGGGAAATGGACTGCGCTTACCAAGTACTTTTCTACTTCAAATGACCAGTGTGTAGGCCGTGGAGGCTGCCAGGCTGAACTGCATTGTTTCTGCAGTAGCAAAGAAAGGACCAACCAAACACTAGCTCTAAATAGGGACTTTAGCCTTTTTAGCCTGTTCTCATTCCCAGGTTGTCAAATATAGACGTGGGCAGTGTACAGCATCTAGCAGTTCACTGCTACTAAATCCTTTAAGAAGTGATTTGAAAAATCAGCAGGAGTAAATAAAATAAGAAAATATAGATGTATGGGTTAAAACATGCAAAACTACATGTATGATTCTTTCTAACTAAAGGAGATGGGAGTGACAGGGAACCAATAGCGCAGAGTCAATATGATGAAGGGATGAAGACCTTCACTGGCAGCAACCACCAACATCAGTTTTCAGTTTTCTGTTCTTTCC